AACTCCACACCGCTCTCCGCCATCAACTACAGAAGGAAGTCCCGCCAACTTCCTTTAAGTAGCTCACGAATACAACTACATATTACCAAAACCAGATAATTCTTCAAATGAGAGGCCTCGCACTAGAACAGTTGGAATCAAACAAGAGTTGCGCAATAGAGTTAAAACATAACCTTCTAAAATTATTTAGTTCCCATAATATGTAACTTAGCATATTCGCTTACTAGTTAGTTGAATCTAGTGAGAACTCCTAAAAGCACAAAGCAAGCAGATTTCGAGCATCAAGTAATCAGAGCCAAGTATCATCTAATCAGGACATTCTATCACTGACTGATCAGTACTAGAATGCAAGTCTATAAGCTCATACAGTAGGCATACATATGCATCTCTCCTTGCATTCTATCATGCAAATATTGAGCAGATCCTTAGCCCTAACTAGCATGTGATTCACAGATTCACATATCAAATCATATTAGATAACATGTATGGGTATTTTGGGAAAACTTACTTGAGCTTGGTCGATTGCATGCACCACACCTTTTCTTGTCTTAGAAAACTTTTTTCTTAAAAATACATTTCTTTTTGAAAAAACAAACTTTACCAAATCCTCAGTTTGAGTTCAGACACACCCGAGAGTATGTCTGAATCCTTCAAACCAAGGCTCTGATACCAACTTGTAATGTCCCAAAAATAAGACCCAAAAATTTCATTTTTAATTTAATAATACAACGTTTAAGACGTCATCAAAAGACCCCAAATGTAATAATTTTATCAAAACATCACAATATCAGAGAAAACATCAAATGCGGAACAAAACATGTGTGCACTGCAATCACCCCGAGCTCTTCCCTTTTGCACTAGAAGTACCTGAAACATAAAATTGAAAACCATGCGATCTGTTAGTCATCAGAGCTCGCCCAACATCAATCCCCGCTCGGTATACTAATCTGTCAGTCATCAGACCCCGCCCGGTATACATATAAACATATAATCATATAATCAAACATACACATGTGATAATCACAAAGATAATAGCACACAGTACAGTCATCAGACCCCGCCCGACATCGAGCCCCGCTCGGTAAACATATACACATAACACATGCAAGAGTCATGCAGACAACTAGCATACCAATATATCAAACCATGGGTCGGCATTGGTGCCTTCAACCTGCTAAACACATTGAGGAAACTCACCTCGCACTGTTGAATCTCACGGAAAAATCTTCGGTTGCTGGCCTCTTAAAATCCCCGCACTATCAATCATAAAATAACATCCAATTAATAATTGGATCCTGACTCACCCTAAGAGTCCAAACTAGGATAAAAGATCTAATTTAACCTTTCCCTAAATTAGCCCAAGGCCAAGGCCCAATCCAATCGTCTAAAAGCCCAAATTCTAAGATAATCATCCAAGGCCCAAATATGGCCCCAATTGCTCAATTGGGCCCAAACCCCCTCATAGGCCTTTAACTAACAGTCCAATAAAATATCCTTAGCCCAAAATAATATTATGATGGCCCAACAAGACCCTAATCATCACCATGAGCCCAACATATTGAATCCCATCTGCTGAGTACGCAGGGTACTCAGCTCGTATGCTAAGCGTACTTGTTTAAGGGCTTGTACACGTAGTGTACCTGCTTGTATGGCCAGCGTACTCCACCCTCTTAACCAACTTTCCCATTCAACTCTTAAATAGTTAATACTTCACTCCAACACTTAGATCTGACTTCCTTAAGGTGTTTTAGCACGTAAAGTTTCAACTGTACGTGCATGCATGGCTTAATGAGGCTTTTAGAGCTCCAAATAGCTTAAAAAAGGACTTAACACATGCATGAGACCAAAAATTCCATAAAGCTTGCATTTTTTGTGGATAAAGGGACCTAAAGGACCCTAGATCTACCATCAATCACTTATGGAGTAAATCAAGAGGCTCAACAACCCAACCATGGACTTAAGAAGTACAAAAATGGCACCAAATTAGATCTAGCAACATGGATTAGCAAGATAGAAGCTTTTTACCTCACAAGGAAAGAAAATGAAGAACAAATCTCAGATCTTCAATCTCTAAGAACCACTCCAAATGGTTCACTTTTTCTTATCCTTCACAAAGCACCAAAACTCACACTTTAAGGCTCAAACTCTCAAGATCTCACTTAGGGTTCGATTTTCAGTACAATAAGGGATAGAGGCTGTCTAAACTTGACCTAGTGAGGCTATCACAAGGTTTAAATAGCATGCAACACCCTAAAATTAGGGTTTCTTATCGGCTCATGTACGCCAAGCGTACATGGACGAGCTCCACGACCAATCCTCATTTAGTACGTTAAGCGTACACTATGGTAACCAAAGGGACCAAAATGCCATTCTAATATGAAGGTCTAAACATGAAACTTACAAATCCAAGCATTACAAATAAAAGTCAATGAATCCACCTACGAGACCAATTTAGTGACGGTCCCACTATTAGCAACTACATTATCCGACCAACAGGGACCATATATGTGTCACCACCTCGCAAGTAACATATAAATAATTATTGTTCTCAGACTAATTATAATGCACGTCACTGAATCCAAATCAAGACCCCTATTCTTTAAATGGAATCTAGTTGTACCTTATTAAAAAATCGATGTTTTCTAGAAGATATCTACTCCACCTTATAGAATCATTTCTATCGTCTAAAGTCGCACCATCCATAAAAATGTCCAATGGAACTTACAATAAAAAATTTCGAATGATCAAGATACCAAACCCATTTGTTTGATTGATCCGTGGGAACAAAAAAACTAATAAGTTGGGTTAAAGACTTAAAGTCAAGAACTGGGAATCTCCGTTCCCCTAACTTAGTAGTGTCGGTTCCAATTTCAACCTTTACTAGACCTCTTATCTATAATTAAACAATTTTTATATCATTCCAACAAAAAAAAAGACTCGGAAACCGATTATAATCTGCAATCCAATTTTTTTTTTTTCTAAAATAAAGTCAGAGAACCATCACCAATTTATTTCCTTAGATAAGAGGGAAGAATAATATGATTTATGGAATAAACTATTTTACAACATACCCCATTTGATTTTATCTCTTCTACAATCGAACCAAGACCACCACCATAATGTATAACTTTAATAAAACACGTCGTGACACATAAATGTGTGATACGGTTTCCACGTCAGAATATTATCAAGTTATTTATTTTGTAACGTGCTAGATTGATAGTAACCGGTCATTTGATTGATATTGCAATAAAACTGTAGATATAGTGACATAATTATGGGAAAAAACAGAGTTAAAATCGCACTGTTGGTAAACATAGTGACTTTATTGTAATTCGAAAAATGGTTACCATGAGAACAAGTAGAATCGGTCATTTGGATGATATTGCAACAAACTTGTAAATATATGATATAATTGTAAAAAAATAATAATAATAATAACTCAATATTGAATTCGAAATTTTGTAATAGTGTAATGACTATTTTACAATTTGCCCTTTTTGATATTATTGGGTCTTTATATCTTTTTTTTATAATAATCAAATGGAATTTGTATTTCCATCGATTATGCTAGACAAGATAAACAACAAAAGGACGTCAACAATATGAACCTATTGTCGTAATTAGGCCAAAGATTTTGTATGAGTCGAGTAAGGGTTGTTTTTAAAATCCTTTAAAATTTTCTTTGTAGATCTCTTGTAATTTCAAAAATATTATTTTAATTCTTGTAATTTTATTAAACTTTCATTTTATAGTTGTTTAAGTATTCTATTTCTAGATTTATGATGCTTAGTACTTTTTATAATTTAAAAAAGTAATAACTAAAGAAAATGTCAAATGCTACCGATTTCCGGTGTTCAATGATGTTCATTTTTGAGATTTCCATAACTTTCAATATATGCAATTTACTTGATCTATGCTAATCACTAAAATGACCAAAGAATGTTTAAGTGTAATAACACTTTTTTAGTATTTATCATAATATAACTATTCACTTTTTGCAAAAATAAAAATAAAATAATCACGGACACACAAAATTTATTGGTCTCAAAGACTCAAACAATATATATTGTGATGAAAGACCCCAATGTGGTCATTTTAGCGAACACTCCAATTTAAACAACCAACCAACCAAATTTTATTACGCCAAGACTAACATGCAATTGAAGATTACAAGCAATTAAGTGAAGGTTTTTAACCAGTCAACCTAAAAAAAATTAATCTTTTTACATCTAGATAATGGCCAAGAATAAGAAGTAGCTCTAATTGCTTCAAAAATCAAATCCTTCCTCAATCTTCTCTCCTTTGAATATGAAAATCATTCCAATACCAATATAACATCCATAATGTTACTTAGCAAGTTAGCATGACCATTTAAATCATGCTTTATTAAAAGTTTTAATCCTTGATAAATCCCTCATATATATCAAAAGTGAAACAATATCCGTAGAAATTAGATAAGTGTTCATAGCATAAATGAACATAACGAAAAGATTCTCTCGAGTAGCCAAACTATCAAGTACCAAGGCCCATTCTCTATCAAAGAATATTAATGTTTCAGGAAGAAAATCAAATCAATTTATTATCTAACTTTAATTATAAAAATTGTCAATTGGATGTTTTATTTTGTTGAAAACCTATTTTACGAGGCACTAAAAAAATGATGATTTCTTAATATTTATAAACTTCATCTATATACAACATGAAATAAACTGATTTGATTTTCTTCTTGAAACATAAACCTTTATCATGCACAATATGGTTATCAAGTTTTACTTGTTTAAAAACCAATCTCGAAAAAGCAAACAACAAAACTAACAAAAAAAAAAGCCTAGATACAAGTTTTTAAAAGGCTAATCACACGACATAGCAACCAAGTTTCATATATTCTTCTACCCATTTTAGGTATCCAAACAATTCTCCCTCTGTTATTCATTCAGGTCATTCAATAGTTCTCACTGCTAACATACCAATGGTAAATCACAATGTTTTCACAAAGCAAAAAAAAAAAAAAAAAAAAAAAAAAAGGTAGATATAGTTTAGAAAAAGGATAGATGAGTTGCAATGTGTTTTTTTGTAGTAGGTTTACCTTTTCTCTACTTCTTTTCCAAACTCATTTCCTGAAGATTGAGCAAAAGATTATCAGCATTCAACATGACTTTGTTGGAAGAAGCAGCCATTGTTGCTGCAATTTCTCTAGCAGCTTCAATCTTTCTCAGAGTGATAAAAGCCGGATTGTTGGCAATTGCTTGACCTATCAGCTGTGCACTTTTCGCTTCTCCCTATTCAATATTCATACAAAAGAAACACAAATTAATCTTTTGGTAACTTTTCAATCCAAATTTACTTTTTTTGTTTTTTCTTCCTTCAATAACATGAAATAATACCTGCGCTCTAATAATAGCACTACGCTTGTCTTGTTCAGCCTTTTCCACAACAAATTTGGCCCTTTCAGCTTCTTGTGCAGCCACCTGTTTTGCTTCAATTGCAGCAGTAAACTCCCTTCCAAAAGTCAAACTTGTGATTGACACGTCATCCAATGCCATGTTGAAATGAGAAGCCCTTTCAGTCAGTACTTTCCTTATTTCCCTGCTAACAGCCTATACAATCAACAAATATAAAAAGCATCTTATTAGTGGAGGGGCAATTAGGGTATTTACTCCAATCACTACCACAGATTTAGGGTTATCTTTGTTCATTGTAACCAACATTTCCTTTTTCAGAAAACCATAAATAGTTTACCAAACTTTTGAAAACAAGAACTATGAGTCGTAAACTTGATTGTTAATGTTTCTATTGTCTATTTGACTTTCAAAGAATTGAGCTCTAAAAACTCAGTTAGAGCATGACTTTTATAAAAATGAAAAGTTGATATATACCTCTCTTTGGGTAATAAGCTGGCTAGCATTGTATTGTGCAACAACAGCTTTCAATGTTTCATGAATAATCGAAGGCAAAACTCTCTCATTGTAGTTTTCACCAAGGGTTCGATAAACTTCAGGTAGTTGATCAGCAACTGGACGAGTAAGAACTCTAAGACCAATTTTCACCTGAACCATAAGATAAAGTCACAATATACACACATACATGAAAGAGTTAAAAGATGAACAGATACATATATATAACTTAAGAAATATACCATTTGTAAATCACGGCTACCAGAGGTGCTTTCTACAAGATGGGGTCGTGCACGAACATCATAGATGATAGGCCTTTCAAACCAGGGAATCATGATGTGTGTCCCTTCAGGATAAACCTACAAATCAAACATGTAAGCAGTTTGCATGATACAGATAGCTTTTAAAACGAAGGTACTTGTAAGATAGATTATGTAAAGTAAATGAGAAGAACCTTGTCTTTGACACCAACTAGACGATTGAAGACAATAGCACGATGTCCTCCTTCAACATTGTAAAGGCTGTTACCTGCTGCATACAATCCAAGACCAACAACAGCTCCTAACTTTAGCAATGCCGAAGCTGCACCAGTATCAGGCATCTTGGGTATCTTAGCTGTGTTGAAATTCATCTTTCCTACCAATTCAGATAGCAAAAATAATAAGCGAATCACTTTGAAAAACAGAAACTATACATCACCGGTAACTACAGGGTTTCCAGAACATAATCACGAGCACTTTATAACGAAGAACTCGCTGATAAAGACGTCAACAAAATCAGATCTGATTATAAAACTATCTACGGCATTTCACCGTTAGAGACGGAAAATTGAAGTTATAAGGAGAAATAAAAACAATATAGAATCATAAAGACAAACAGAGATGTGTAAAACAACGAGCGGATGTACCGAAATCATGAATCAAATAGTTTGATAAGGAAGTAATTAACCGGAATCGATGAAATGGAGCGATTCATCCCACAAAAATTGGTGAATCACTCAGACTTGTAAGCAAGATGATTCACAGAAACGGATTAATTAAACCTAATGTAGGAACGAAAGTATGATCAACAATTCGTACCTTTATGAAAGAGGCAAAGAGGAAGCTCGTAGTCGCGGCGGCGGAAGGGTGGAAATAGTGCGTGTTCTAATGGAAGGGGAAAAGGGTTTAAGGGTTAACCCCTAAAGTGTCCTCCAAGTTGCTGCTTTCACCGTGACTCCCACACCTTCGGTGCAAATTTGGTCACACGAATATTGTTTTACTGTTTTCGTGACCTTACATATTACAATTCAAGATTAATGAATATATTGATTCAAATTTCCATGTATTATTAAATTTATTAGTAACAGCATATATAATATATAATGAAAAATGAATAATCGAATTGATTATCAATTATCAATTGTATATAAACTAGAAATATTTTGTTACCTATAATAGCCAAAATCCAAAACTTAAAAAATAAATTATCAATGTAAAAAAATAATTTAGGTTTAAATATTGAATATGCATTTAATTATAGGAAAAATGACTTATAAATCCCTAATACTTAAATATATTTTGGTATTCATGCTAAAATCAAAAGTTTACCATTTAATTATAGGAAAAATGACTTATAAATCCAACAAAGTTTCCAAACTGTTCAAAAAACTTCAATCATATTTTGTCTACTCAAAAAAACTCGAACTTAACATTTTTTCTAAAAATCTCAACTAACTTATGTTTTTGTTCAATTTTCATTAGAGTCAACCGACATTTGTGGATTAATAACAGAAAGCTTTACCGGATAATGGAAGTCAATGAAGAGGAACAAATGATATGGTTTATCACGTGGAATTAAATATATTGACTCTCATATTAAGGTAGTAAGGATAGTGATTACCCTCACAAAACTTACCTAACGAATAGAAAGAAGCACAAATGGCGATTTAGGGTTCGAGCAGGTAGAAAACGACGACTATAATCGTCGTGCAACAACCATGTCAAGAGATGGTGACTCCCTTACCATTGATGTCTACCACAACGATGTTTTTGTTCCTAATCCTTTCATTTAATTTATTCATGATAAAGCATTTGTTACGGGGGTAGAGGTACGTAACATGGATTCCAATTCATGACCTACTATAACGCTTGTAGACCCGGGCTAATCAATTTATAGACGATAAGCATCAAAAATAACTTTTAATGAAAGATTATTTAGAATGAGTAATCTTAACTAAATTGTAGTATATGTTACAAGGAATTCGTACATATAAAGAACGCTGAAATCCGAGTTATAATGAATAAGTTATGACCTGTCGAAGTTTCGCGACAGAACCGGCACGACACAGCGCGACATAAATAGTGAATTTATGTTAGAGCGATATTTGGCCTTAGCAATCTAAATGAAAGTCGTAGAATACGTTAAATCGAGAGTGTGCATAAAAAGAACGTCCAAGTCTAACTTCGTATGAGGAAGTTACGATTTTTCTAAGTTTCAGTTTACCAGTATGCAACCCAAAGTTCGAATATGAGATCGAGTGATTTCTAACCGAAACGATCTAAACGAGAATCGAAGATCTCATCGATAGTAGCCCAACGGGGAAAAGACAGATGAAAACGGATCTTCGATGAAGAAGATATGATTTTATAACGGAGTTTTCTTTTCCCGCCCTACTAAAATAATATATTAAAAAAATTCAAAAATTAGCCGACGGAGTCTAAATGAAAGTTGTAGAGCATAGTCTCACCTACGTGTGGATATAAAAAACATAAGAAACGGAACTCATATGAAAAGGATATGAATTTCTTAAGTTTTTAAATAAATAAACTATATAAATAAAAACATTTATTTGGATAATACCCAAATTCGTGACGCATCAGATCCAATCCACCTAGTACGCCCAGCGTACTAGGCGTACGCCTAGCATACATGTCGACACCGAAGTACGCCCTGCGTACAAGGTAGCTACATGCAACGTACAGTTGCTTCCTATGGTCCGAAGAAGAGTCACGTTCCACCACCCAAAGTTTGCCACCTGGCAGCCCCATCCGAACTACGCCCCGCGTAGAGCTTCGTACGCCCAACGTACGTGCGAAGCTCATGCCTATAAAAGGCAGGCAAGGGCAGCCAGGGTTGTTGCTAATTTCTCACTTCTTTACCCTTATTTTTCCTATTTCTTGGCAATTTATACCCCCGAAGCCCCGATATCAATCCCAACACCAGAAGCAAGTCCTGAAGCCCCGAAGATCCCGAGAAATATAATTCTCGAGCCGAAACTCTACCCGCGTGAATCCCGGTTTTGGAGAAAACATCCCGGTTTCAGCGAAGAATATTGTTTTATTAGACGAGGTGTTATCTGATCATCGTCTTATCAAGTGAAAGTATAGTCTCTTTCATAAACACAATTTTAATACAAGTATTGTTTGAATGTATTAAGTATATGTTTGGTGTGAGTGTATAGTCTCTTTCATAAACACGATTTTAATATAAGTATTGTTTGAATGTATTAAGTATATGGTTGGTGTAGGTATGTAGTCACTTTCTTCTAACACATAAATATGAAGTATTTGTTATGAAATACGTGTTATGTGTTTATATATTGTTGTTTAGTTGAGAGGAGTGTGGTATGGATGTTTTATATAGTTTTTAAATGAGTTAAACTGTATATGTATTCGATATCTACAAATTTGGTGGGTAGAACATGAGTAGATGAGATAGTTGGTGTGTGATAAAAGATGAGTTGGATAATGAGATAAGAAGTGATATAGATCTTGAGATGAGGGTGACAGGTGGAAAATGAGTGAAACCTTTACCCAAGCGATGGACCCCGTCATTCAGCAGAGTAGGAATGACAACCACAGACTATTCTACACATTCAGTGGAACACTAGCAAGCTCGCAACGTGTAGGTGTTGTGGGCTTAATGTTCACCAGTGTACTCTAAAAACCCATTGACATGTATTGCGAGAGGGGCTCGAAAGCGATACTGTCAATAAACGAGATATACTTGTTATTAATCAAGGAGTAAGGGTTAATACATAGTTAATTGTCCCTAGTCTGGGAGTATGGATTGGGCATAGTTTTAGATCCGGGAGTATGTATCAGGTTAAGAGGTTAGTTTTAGATCTGTGAGTACGGATCAGGTAAAGAGGAAAGTTTTAGATACGAAAGTTTAGATCGTGTCGTTGTGAGGATCGATAGGGTGGGATAAGGTTGCTTTGATATGGTGAAATTGTATAGGTTTGTGGATTCTAATATATATGTATATATGATATAACATTGTGGGTTGAAAACCCTATATGCTCACCAGGCTCCCAAGCCTGACCTACTCAGTTTTCTTTGTATTACAGGTAATGGCACAAGAGTATAAGTTGGTGGACTTAACGAGAGATTTTGAATAATAGACCCGTAGTTGTAAATAATTGTCGTAAGGTCGAATTGTACTGTTTATGCTTTTGGTCTGTATCGGAACATGACATCCCGAGGTTTTATCATTCAATGAAAATACATTTCTTTAAGAAATGCTTTGATAAATTCTTATCATATTTTGTTTTGGGAACAAATTTCGCAACTCTTTTAATCAAAGGATTACTCTGATTTTATAAAACAAAGCGGTCTTTTCTGGCCGTGAAAATGGGGATGTCATAGTTGGTATCAGAGCATTAGCTTAAGCGAACCATGAATTTGTAGGATTTCTAGACTTAAACTTAGAATGCTAAGCGATAAGTGTGAGATGAGTGTTTACCATACTTAGACTCGAGCACTATTATATTTTAGGAAAGATGCCTAAAATGCTTTTATGTGCTAAATGTTATATGTTTTCCATATATGATATTGTTTGTTCGGATCTATGGTCAGTTGCCGACCAGATCTGGAAACCTTACGTGTTTAGGATTCTAAGCGTACGCCTATGATATTAGAACTAGCATGTAAACGTTTCGGAGTAATAAGGATGATTTGAATGTCTATTGAAATAGAGATCTAAATTCACCTAATTTGGTGTAAAGATCGAAATGGCAATCATGCAAAAATGGATTGGGAAGCGATAACCCCCAGCCTGAGCCATACGTGATTGAGAGTGCACCAGAAATAACAGTTGAACATGAGCCAATCACGATGGCAGGAGTATACGCAATGGTGCGGATGATGTTGGATCAACAAATGAAAGAACCAAGGTGTTTACTTCAACAAAGTAAGGACGGACTTGCTGTGCCAGTACGCCAAGTACCTACTCTTGAGGCAACTATCTTGGTTGCTAAGTCAGTTGAGGAAATGATCAACGACAGGACCACCAACAAGGTTGAAATTGGAAAAAAGAGAAATTTTAAGGAGTCTTCTAGGTCCAATAAAAGCAACATGTCCTCGAAGTCTAGCAAAAAAGGAGGTATGGAAAAATGGTGCGGGAAATGCAAAAAGAAAAACCCTGAAAAATGTGGCGAGGAGGTGACATGTTTTAAGTGTGGAAAGCATGGGCATTACGCCAACGAATTTAGATTGAACGAAAGGGTATGTTACGAATGTAATGAAGAAGGGCACTTCAAGCAGGACTGCCCAAATAAGGAAGAAGCTACAAAGCCAATTGTACCACTGAAGCATTATGAGAGATGCAACGAAGAAGTGACTTGCTACAAATGTGGAATGAAAGGTAATTACGCCAACAAGTGCACCTCCGATAAGAAGGTGTGCTACGAATGTAACAAATAAGGGCATTTTTCTAGAGATTGCCCAAGGAAGAATGAACCAGCAAAGCCAAAGGCATTTCACATGATCCCCGATGAAGCAGAAAACAACGCGAGGATTCAAGAATGAAGACTTCATATCAAGATATAATATGTATCAGTAAGTGTAGCCTATTAGAGGCATAGTATAGGGTGAACTTGAACCTTTGTGCAATCGTTTCAAGAGATATTATAAACCCTGGTTTTGTTATATGATGTATTGAATGACACCTATTGGAAGATATCGATGGTGGCATCTTGCCTTTAGTTTATGTATGATAAAATAATGGTATGTCTGAAGTACACTTTCGATTGGCTGAATGATGGAACGATTGGTGTAATTCTTGAAGTTGTCCCATCATCTGGTATTTCCATCACCAATCGAGTTGAAGTAGAATTGATGATTGAAGATACGCAATGAAAAAGTCCTAGTAGAGTCTAGGGAAATTTTTATCATTATTTGGACACATTCGTACGTGTTAAATTGTTTTGTGATTTTAGGACTTGGAGACTACGAGACAATACTTGGAGCGAGTATGAGTAGGTGTGAAAAGTAGTAGATGCATATACTACCGGAAGCACAAGACTCGCACTTGGATCAGGGAAAGTCACAAAGTTACCAAGAAGCTAGTAATTGATTCCGCTTTGTTCATGTATGTCATTACCATTGTTTCGGTAATGACTAAGCAGATGATTGTTATTCTGACCCTAGTGCTATATCAAAATTGATTCCGACTACGATAAGTTTGTTACATGGTTTAAAGAACCGAGTTAGATGTAACATCTGACTGAAGTAAGAAGATTGAAATCAATGCGATCATTGGTATCACACTCGTTGTTAAAAGAAGTTTATAGCTAGAACTGCTACATGCTAAAAATGTGATTATATCACATTAGAATATGAAGGAAGGTATATTCCATTATGTGATTATATCACATTAGAATATGGGGTACAATTCTCTTTGTATAAAAGATAGAACTACATACCTTGTTGTTGAAAGTGTTCCTTGAAACCTTGTGAGCCTAGCACCTCAAGTGTGATGCCTCAAATGCTTCACACAACACCAAATGCAAAGAATAAACTTGATAGAATACTCTAACACATGCAAAATTGGCCAAGCCCTCATGTTTTTTAGTGTAACCAATTTTGGGGAGAGTTACATTGCTTATATAGTGGGTTGCATTAGGTAAACCCTAATGTTCCACGACTCTTCATTTCTTGATCCATGGGTTAACTCCATGGAGCATCTTATGGGTGGAACCCAACTTGATAATCCATGGAGCATCTTAGTCCACTATATAAGATATGGAAGATTTACTTAATCTACCCATATATCTAATTAATTATCTTTTGATCACTTTAA